CCCTGTCTATATGTGACGCAAACTTCAAAGAATTACGTACCTGCACCCCTAGGTCTCTCTGTTCGACAACACTACCCAAGGCCCTACCATTAAGTGTAAAAGTCTTGCCCTTATCTTACGTTCGATGACAAATTCGAATGCCAATCTCTTTTAGCCTTTCCCTGACCTGCCCTCCTATTCTTTTTACCCTTTTTAACAGCACATAGCCCATCACTCTACCACTTCTCCTCAGTTCTGAAGAAGAGTTATACTGGGCTTGAAACTTTAAGGCTGAATTTCTATCCACAGATGCTGCCAAACCTGCTGAGTTTCACCAGCACTTTCTGTTTTTACTTCCTGTTCCTGCTAGGGGTCAGCGAGGAATGAGGAAAAAAAAAGTAACTGCTTTTCTCCTTCAATCTTTGTGCCGAGGGACCAGGTGTTGGAATTTCACTGGGCGGGAGTGGAGTCTTAAAGAGGTGAAGTCAGGGCAGACTGATTATCGGGGACTAAAATTGAGGGACACTTTGACAGGGGGTGACCTGCGAGGGTTTGTGGGGGAAGTACGGTTGCTGGCAAGCCCAGGACAGCAGAGGGGATGGGCACTAGCAACCTGCGAGAGTTGGCACTGTATGCAAGTGTGCAAATGAATAGCACTAGCCAGCTGAACCACAGCGCGTGATGGCTGCCTTAAGTACAGGCAAAAAGAGGTCTTTAGCTCATCGAGTCTGCACTGACCCTCTGAAGGGCATCATGCCCAGACCCACCCTATACCCGTCAGCATAAAACTCAGCTGGCTATCCTGTTAGCTGGTGCCCCTGAGAAATTGTAATCAGGCTGGTAACTTTCTTAAGATACACAGCTCAAGGAATTCTGTGTGTCAGCACAAAACCACTAGGATTAGTTATTAAAATAGCCTGAGGTTTGATTTCACATGTTGCTTAAATTTCTTTGAATTTACTCATCATAATAAAACAAAACATCTTATCACAGGCCTAGAAAGGAATACAGTTTGATTGCACTCAAAGTGTAAGAGATAATTACTTAAATAAAGACTGAAAGAACTGCGGATGCTGGAAATCAGACGCAATAAATGCATTAGGAACTCAGCAGGTCTGGCAGCATCCGTGGAGAGAAATCAGATTTAAAGTGGGAAACATTGCTGCCAGACCTGCTGAGCTTTTCCAACTATTTCTGTAGATAACTACGTTTGATACAAGTGGAGAAGTTGAAATCCAGGGCCCAAAGTTGCAGGACACGGTCCAGTTTGGACAGAGTTTGGAGACAAGATCCATCTCGAAGCAACAGTTTGTTGGTGATCTTAAGTAAAGTCGAGGAGTTCCACAATTTTTGAAGAAAGACTGATTTCAGAATCTGAGGTGCAGGTCTTAAGTAGAACCGAGGTAAACCGATTGTTGCAGACCTGAGTATTCAAGCCATTTGAATTTAAAAACACAGTCTAAATGGCAGCCCCTCAGCTGCTCCTAATGCATTTAAATCGGTTTTTGAAATAAAAAAGTTTGTTTTGCAAGTTGCTGTCCGTCTCTGAAGCCTGAATGTAACGCAATTTTTGGTAAAGTATCTCGTTTTGAGTTTTCTTGGTCCAAGGCAAGGTGATTTTCGAGGCATGATCGATCATGACGTCACTGCAGGAACCAACATGCAATAGGCCCAAACCGTCCACGAAGAATTCTGTAGCGATAGAGAAAGGAGGCAAAGCAGCTGGTCAGGCAAATGATGGTCTAAACTGGGACTCATGGATGACACCCATGATGTCTGATTGGGTAACGGATCTTGACCGCCTCTCTCCCTCCCCCACCACTCTGTGAAAAATGGAGGGAGGGAAGGAGGGAGAGAGGGTGGGGCGACAGGGTTGGTGCTAAAGCAGAACGAGGTTCGCTCACGTCAAGCTTGTCCACTCTCTTGGTTTGAATCTGGGCCATTCAGAACATGCAATCAGACAGCACAGAAACAGGCCCTTCGGCCTAACTCCTCCATGCTGACCAGATTTCCTAAACTGAACCAATTCCATTTGCCGGTGTTTGGCTCCTATCCCTGTAAAACTTTTCTTTCCAAGTTGTTTAAATGTCGTAATTGTACTCCACCACTTCCTCTGGCAGCTCATTCCATACACGCACCACCCTCTGTGTGAAAACGTTGCCCCTCAGATCCGTTTTAAATCTTTTCCCTCTCACCAGGGGTGGCATGGTGTCTCAGTGGTTAGCACTGCTGCCTCACAGCACCAGGGACCCGGGTTCGATTCCATCCTCAGGTGACTGTCTGTGTGGAGTTTGCACATTCTCCCCGTGTCTGTGTGGGTTTCCTCTGGGTGCTCCAGTTTCCTCCCACAGTCCAAAGATGTGCAGGTTAGAGTGGGTTGGCCATGGGAAATTGCTCATAGTGTGCAGGGATGTGTAGATTAGGTGTGTTAGCTGTGGGAAATGGAGGGATAGGGTAGCGGGGTGCCCTTCTGAGGGTCAGTGTGGACTCAACAGGCTGAAGGGCCTGCTTCTGCACTGTAGGATTCTGCGATTTACTGATGGGGCAAAAGGAAAATGT